TCAGGACCTCGGGGGCCACCAGGTCTGGATGGACTGAATGGGCTTAGAGGACCAAAAGGAATGAAAGGAGCAAGCGGTAAGAGGGCTTAAAATGTCAAGGATCATTTACAGTTAAGTTAAGCATTGATTTCTTTCGATGTCTTTTATTTTGGGTCTGTTGGTAAATCCTTTTTTATCTATAAGTACATACTATACTGCATGTCTGTGGACCAAATGTTTTGCTTAAACAGAAATGTCCGAGTTACTATCAGCTGAATGTTGCACCTCTTACTGAGTCCAAAAAGTGAAATAGAAACAGTAAATTAATAAGTCTTTTGTATTTCATTCTATACTCGTTAGAGCATTTTATTTGAATCTTTCTCTTTAATGTATCCATTTCTCTTCAAGGCATAGTTAACCCTGGCCGTCCTGGACCAGATGGTTTTCCTGGAGTCAAAGGTCTCATGGGCATTCCAGGACCTCCAGGAGCCTCTTACCCTGGATCTAAAGGCCAGAGGGGCCCACCTGGCAGCACAGGTATCATATCTGTCATTGTTGAACTGAAACATTATCAATGCAGTAGCCGACACAGTTTGGACAGCATAACATGTTGGTAACTTCCCAATACTCCCAGTGTAAGAGCTTTAAAAACAACAGAGTGATTAAAGTGATTATTTTATTTCAATACAAAAGTCTTACATGGTCACTAAGATTGAATTGTGTTTTTTTTAGGGTTTTACAATTTTCTGCATTTCTTCCCACCAGGCCTTCCAGGTATCCCAGGTGGACATGGTTACCCCGGTGTAGAATGCCGCACACCTACGCCTGGATCCCGGGGAGATACAGGATATGAAGGACCACCAGGGCCTCCAGGTGTGTGTGCCTGGTTATCTGTTCGTCCATGTTCAAGTGTGTTAGTGTGCACAGTTAGTGTGGCCCATTGACTACAGTTTCTTCCCCTCTCTGCTGTCAGCCTGATGAACAATGTCCCTGCCCTCCTCCCTCCTCCCACATAACCCAGACTCTCATCAGCCCCACAGTCGGAAAAATATGTAATGCGAAGTAATGCGAATGCTGAAACTGTTCTTTATGCGTTACATTAACGCCCACTGGAATTTATTTTCTTTACATGCACTCTGCGAGTAGGTTACATACACTGTAAGATTTTTCTCTCATAGTCCACTGCACAGCTCCCACATTGCACCTTTTGTACATTTTGTACATTTTATCTTTTTTATTTTTTATTTTTTATATTTTACATTTTTAAATTCTATTTTACATATTGTAATAGCTTCTTATACTCTATTATTTAAGTTGTTGCTAGTTCTGCATTATTTCCTTGTTAATTGTTTAGCACCAATACACCAAGTCAAATTCCTTGTATGTGTAAATGTATTTAGCAATAAACCCCGATTCTGATTCTGATACATATATGTATGGACAACAAGGCCCTCAACGATGATTCCATAATACCCTTGTGTTGATACTGACATATTGTGCATTTGGAGTCAGAGTCTGAGCGGTAGGGATCTGGTGGACGAGCGGTAGTTTTAATGTCATGCAGTTTCCACAAACGTAAACACACCTTTAACTTAATGAAAAGATGGCAACGATCCCTCAGGTCAGTACATTCAACAGCAGAGCAGATTTCTGTGTCTGTTTGAAGCAGTCACTCATGGTAAAAGAAAGTTCAATGACTCTAGTTTCAGTTTTTGCAATGTTTTCTCCCCTCATCTCTCCTCTCCTCTGCAAACCTGCTGCTGTTTTTGGCTTCACTTTTGGTAAGGTGTTTAACTCTTGCCATGTGCTTTTACATATTTCTGTCCAACAACTGGGATTATGTGTTGGTGTTTCAGGTCCTCCTGGAAATCCAGGCCGTCCAGGCAGCAGCATTTCCACCAAAGGAGACCCAGGTCCAATTGGTTTCCCTGGGATACCAGGTCGAAAGGGAAGTAAGGGATTTCCTGGACCCCCTGGATCTCAGAACTACCTAGGCTTTCCTGGGCCAAAAGGTGGATACCGGCAAAACTTCTGCCATCAGTTTTTACAGTGCAAACGTCCACTCTAATGCACTCTTGTCTTAATTTGACAGGTGAGAGAGGCCCTGATGGTCCTGGGGGATTTCTGGGACCCAAAGGACCTAGAGGTAACCATGGGCCTTTTGGTCCCAAGGGAGTAAGAGGCCCAGGTGGTGACAGAGGTATGCAGCACTATAGCTAATAGTGTGAGGCTTGCAAACATATACACTTTACTGTTCGTTTCTGTTTTGTCTTTGTTGAACTATACATTTGTTCTTTTCAGGTGCCAAGGGTCCTCCTGGTGATTCCATTCATAGCCCCCCAATGGAGTCTTTTCATGGTCTTCCAGGACAACATGGTGAGCCAGGACCTGTGGGATCTCCTGGATATGCTGGTCCTCTAGGGGCTCCTGGACGCAAAGGCAAGCATTGTGTATTTGATCTCTGTCCATGTTGCCCATGCTGTGTCTTAAATCACAAACACTACTCGTTGTCCCTCGATAATGATTTCATTGTTAGGGATAGGTACCAAAAAACTGTACTTTTTGGTATAGTACATGATTGGTCAGTACCAAGGGTATCAGTAAGCTTGTGGACAAACTGTGCTCCTGTCCAGATTTTATTTTAAAAAATCCAGCGAATATGAACACTACTTTTTCCAATTCACAATTATTCCACTGTATTGGGTATAATAATAATAATATTGCAGTTTCCCTTTACAGCATACTGTATTGTAAATATTGGGTGATTATGTATTAATCAGTGTGTTTGTTTATTTTTCCTTTCTTGTGTGTTAAAGGAGAGAAGGGCACTATGGGATCTCTTGGCTTCACTGGCACTCAAGGTCCTCCTGGTTACAGTGGTCCTGTTGGAGACCCAGGTGATGCTGGTCAGCAAGGATTTCCAGGTCCTCAAGGTTAGTAATTAGACACAACTGTTTTGTACTTTTTAACTGAGATTAGAACTTTGGCAGGTTAGTCAAAGGGAAAGACATCTGTTGTCAGAAACTCAGCAGGACTGGCTTTAATGTCTTAGTAATGAGACATTGGGTTAATGTAGAAAAGCCTTGAATAAATAGATATAGGATCAATCAATCAAATGTATTTATAGAGCACATTTAAAAACAGCAACAGCTGACCAAAGTGCTGTACATGGAACAAACAAGCAATAGTAGTCAAAGAGGAAGGAGAAAAACAATCTCACAGCAAACCACACATACACACACAAAATACATATCAATAAATAATAAGTAATAGTAATATAACATTTGATAGAAAGACAAGCAACCTAATTAGGACTCAAAAGCCAACATGTAAAAGTATGGGGTTTTTTGTGAACAACTTTTTATTGAGTTGGCAGCGTGTATACACACAAATACATTCTCACAATGCTTTAACAGAAAGTTTATTACATAGAGTGTTGGACATAATCATTGTGTCATCACTCAATCATCAAAATAAATACACAACTTAACTTGCGAATGTGCAAGGTCAAGGTGTTTTGAGGCCTTGACTGCAAACGCTCGGTCGCCTCAAAGTTCCAACATGAACGAGGGACAGCCGAGTGGCCCATGTTTGAAGATCTAAGGGGCCTGGTCGTTGTGTATCAGGCCTTCTCTTATCCATTCTTTACATCACTCATTTACCACTTTGTCTACCCCGCCATGTTCCAGGTACATTAGGTCAATCTGGTGATCCAGGTGAGCCAGGCCACGGGGGGGCCAGGAGGTCAGGCTTCCTGTTGGTGATTCACAGCCAGTCTGTTCAGCTGCCAAGTTGCCCTGACGGCAACGTTCAACTTTGGTGGGGCTACAGTCTGGTCTATTTGGAGGGACAAGAAAAGGCTCACACTCAAGACCTGGGTAAACAGCTACAAAGACAATCATATTTATTGTTGTCTAATGGTTGGATTATTCACCAATCCTTGGTTTTACTATCCATAAAACTTCCATCTTTTCTTTTACCCTCTATGTCCTCCTGTACCTCTTCTCCTCGTAGGCCAGGCCGGCTCCTGTCTCCCTGTCTTCTCCACCATGCCTTTCTCCTACTGCAACAAAGCAGCATGCCACCACTCCAGCCGCAATGACAAATCCTATTGGCTTTCCACCACCGCTTCTATACCCATGATGCCAATGTTTGGCCAGGAGATTAGCTCCCACATCAGCCGCTGTGTGGTGTGTGAGACAGTGTCACCCGCTGTGGCTTTTCACAGCCAGGATCACACTGTCCCTGCATGCCCACCTGGCTGGAGGAGTCTGTGGACAGGGTACTCATTCCTCCTGGTGAGTGTGATCAATAGATTGTATATGACAGATAATTGCTGTGAACTAAACGTACATTTACCAGCCCTTTTTTTTTTCCCTCTTCAGCACACGGGGGCTGGTGATGAGGGCGGTGGCCAGTCTTTGACATCTTCAGGTAGCTGCCTGAAGGATTTCCGGGCTCACCCCTTCATTGAGTGCCAGGGTGCGAGGGGTTCCTGCTCCTACTTTTCTAATATGTACAGTTTTTGGCTGACTACTGTTGGTCAAACAGAGCAGTTTGTTACCCCAATTTCTGGCACCATAAAGGCAACTGACCAGCAGAGACGTAAGACCAGTCAGTGTCATGTCTGCCTCAGGCGGCTGTGAAGTCCCTTTTCTCTTTGGGTTGTAACTTAAATGATTGTTTGCCCTTTTGATTCATTATGATAACTGTTACCACTCTCATGTATAAAAAATGTATCGGATGAAAAAAAGTGGCTTACAATATGAAGTGTCAGCTTGCTAGCTGGCATCTTTTTTTTTAAACTTTTGAATAATGTTGGTGTGTATTTTATCCTTTTTGATCTTTATTTTCAGTGATGTGCTATTTCTAGTGATGAAAATGTTGAAAATAGATCAAGTTGCTGCTGTTTCTCCTCAAAAATGTTTAGAACTTTTCATGGTTTAAGTCATTCAGGGTCTAACAAAAAAAATGAAACGACCTGCAGAAATACCAAAATAAATAATTTCCACAGGACTCAATTTTCCATAGAGGGTTTCAAGTTCATATTTATTTATTTCTCTCAACAGAACCCAAGTGACAATCAGAATACAGTACTTTTTTTTCCTCAAACATGTTTTTTCCTTTTCTTTTTTTCTTACGCAAAAAACAAGAGAACACTCAGTGCAATAAGACAGAGGACTCTGACAGTGCGGTGCTCTCTCTACCTTTTCACAGTGCACGTTTATACACACAAAGAGATTGTACATCATCATTATTACATTTCCAACCTTTGCCCTCCAATTATCATGGATGAGGCAAAGTAAAATGTCTTAAAACAATCATTTTTAAAAGTTCAACTTGCATACAGTGTAGCTTGGCACACACAGACAAACACACGGCTCTCTCCCTCAAACACACACGTAAAGGTACAACACAGAGGGACCTCTGTAGTGTCGAGTACTGCACTTGCATTCCACTCTGAGGGTTAGCTCACGTGTCCAACCCAGACTATTTTGGCAATGTCAACATTGCATTTGAATGTGCTGAAGAGAACCAATTTCAATGATGTAAGTAGGAGGTTGAGGTAGAGGGAGAGAGCAGGGGGAGAGGGACATGTATGTAATCCGCCTGATTGAATGTAATGACATATGATGGGTAGTGCATTTCTTTTTCATTTTCTTTTTACAAAGCCTCAAAGATTTGTAGGCCCTTGTGCAACCCCTGTCTGCTTGACTGGGTAGAGCTGTTGCCATGTTATAGGTCCTTTGATCTCTGAAACGGTTGCCAGTCGAATTGTGAATATTGTCCGAGACAACCAATCATAGATGACTGCATGTCACACACAGCCAGCCTCCTGAGGCTTTAACCTCCCTCTCGCCAATAAATGAAAACTTACATGGCACAGCTACCTTTAACATTTTCAAAAATATATATATATAAGCATAATCTTGAAAGTTAATTCTTAAGCAAGTGCATATGGCTATTATAATCTGCAGTTAAATTAAGAAATGCTCTAAAAGCTCAGGTGTTGTTGATTGTACGGGCTGGTTGTTGGCATCAAGTATTTACAATGTGTCGTGGTGCTCGTAGTGTGCATGGCAAAGTAAGGGCGCTGGTACTCGCCAGCTATTGCCACCGACCCCATTTTAAAGAACCGACCGTCCAAAGTGCAACCACACCCTTCTCTCGCTTTAACAGGCTTTGGCTGGTTTTGGAAGTTAAACTGTTGATAATGTATGTTCTAATTTACTACCTCCCCAACCCACCCTCATAGTGTATCTTAGATTACAGCAGAAACATTTCACACTTTTTCATTCCTCTCCCACATGCCAGCCAACAGGTTTTTTTTTTTTTGTCCTATATAAAACGATTCAACCGCTTCAAAAGGCTTTGACTTAGTTACTACACAGCTTCTTACTGTAATATACAAACTGAAGCACACAAAGTTTCCTGTTTCTGTTCCAGGACCATCTGTTGTACATTGTAGAACATACTGGACCAGGCATGGAGGGCGTTGGAATCTAAAGCACGTTAACTCCTCAACTTACAATACAACAGTGAAAATGTAAAGTATATATAGACAGAATTGAATAGTCCATTCATTTTCAGTGCTATTCAGCACAAGAAAAGAAAGCCTTGGGCATAAGAAAATTATGCTACTACAGTACAAGTATTGATAGATTATGCTTTCAAATGTAAAATAACCCAAACAGAAATAACAAAAACAAAAAATTAGATTGCATCTACATCTACTATACATAATTTAAGCTGCTTTTAATCCCCATCTCATTTAGAAAATATCTATTCATCAAATATCTATTCTACTTATTATATTACAAGAATCCAATCACAGGAAATAGAAAAATATCAAATATCACCAGTGATGATAAGAAAACATGACAACCTGAACGAGCAGAAATATTGCTATGGTAACCACCATTGTCCAATGACATCAGCGAGGAACTTCTTGGTGCTCTTACTGGCTGTCCTGACACCCCTGATGTTGCAGGGAAGCATCAGCACAACCAATATGAAAGAGGGGATGGGGTATCTCGGGGGGGTTGTGTGGCAGGGAGGTGCAAGTGTGTTGTTAGATGGCAGTGTCCCAGAACACAGTTTTCTGTGTAGGGTAAGGGGGAGGACGGATCTTTTTGGCCCCACCACTTTTCCCCCAGCCTGGGAGGGCTGATGAACTCTCTTGCTTGCACTGACTCCGCTCCTGGTGCCTCTCCTCGCTCCTGTCTGGAGGGGGAGGAGGCCTCTCCAGGAATCTCTGCAGGTGTGGATGCTGTTTGGAGCGAATCTGCTGGCAGAGGGTGCGCTTCCTCTCGATCTGTTCCAGCATGGTGGTGTCTCCACAGATCCATGGCATCTGGGGCATCTGAGGGCCAAAGATGATCCGTTATTCAAAGTGACCTAAAACAATGCTGCTTGACTTCAAATTTAGTCGCTCCCTTTTATGTACCTTTAAAGCAGCTTTTAAGTATTTTCTCTACAACGAAAAATCATTACTTATGACTAAATAAGTAAAAGTAAAATAACACATTTTTGGTGTTCAAACCACAACTACTGAGCTTATCTGGTTTATTAAGATTGTGTGAGTGAGTGTTGACTGGTGGAACAATAACCCAAAAACCTGTAATCCTTCATAATCATCAATCCAATATAAACCAAAACTCTGATTAGTTCACACAGGGGCATAATATCACTTTTAACTAAATGAGCCAAATACAACTCGAACCAGTCAGAAAAAGGTCTCAAGAACTAATCTTACTTTTGGGGTTCACCTAACTGCATGCATATTACTTCATTACTTAGAGTAAGAAACTGACCAAACTGACATTTTCAAGGCCTGTAAACAGGATGAGAATAGAAATCAGGAATGAAAAAGCCGGTCCACATACCTGACTTTGTTGTGTCTCTGCTGCTCTCCTTTGTGGAGTTCCCATTGGAGAGGGGTTAGCAGGCATAGAAGGTGAGCGGGCATACTTTGGTGCTGCTTTTGGATCTAAAAAAAAAAAAAGACATGAAAAAAGACATAATGTGTTACATAAATAAGAATTAAGAAATGCATTTAATTCGGCTATATAAACAAGGTCAATTCTAAAATATGCCATGAATCTGAGGATTTAATGCTCACCATTTCCTGTCCCTGCTGTCATTGGGGGGCTTCCAGACGATCTCCCATGGTGAGTAGGTGTGGTTATGGATGAATGCTGTCCTGACATTGTGCTGCCGTTCCTCTCTTGTGCTTTTGATTGGTCACCGCTGTAATTTGCTCTGCTATCCCGCCTGGGCGTGCCATCCGATCTGTATCCTCGGTCCTTACTTTCACACCTGTACTCCATTGCAGAAGGGCTCTTTGTGCTCTTTGCATCATACTGATGCTGTTCTGATCCATTCAAACTCCGGTCTTTGCTGTCCCGTCTCACTTCGAGTCCTGTTCTGCTCAGGTCTTTACTGTCCTGCCTGGGTAGGGGAGGTGGAGGATGTTCTCCTCCATTGTGGCTGCTTCGATCTCTCCCATCATGCTTCGATTCAGAGCTGATCTTGTCCCTGCTGTTGCTGCTCCTCGAAGTTTCTTGTCGGGTGAGGATCTCTGGCGGTTGGTCTATTCTACCCTCGTGTCTATGTTCTACATCGTTCCTTACTCTCTCTTTGCTATCCTGTCGGGGTAACAAATCTGGACGTTGCTCTTTGCCATCATGCCTAAGTTCTGCTCCACTTCTTGCTCTGTCTTTGCTGTCTTGTCTGGGTAAAAGCTCAGGGGGCCTGTCTCTGCTATCGTGCTTTGAGTCCACAGCATTCCTGGCTCTATCTTTGCTGTCTTGTCGGGGTAAGAGCTCGGGCGGCTGATCAAGCAGTCTCTCTCGACTTTCGTGTCTACTGTCTAAACCATTTCTCACCCTTTCCTTGCTGTCCTGTCTTGGTAACAGCTCAGGCGGCTGATCTAGCAGTCTCTCTCTTTCTTTGCTGTCCTGTCTCAGAAAAGGCTCCATTCCCTGTCCCCCGCTTCGGTCTTTGCTGTCTCTTCTCGGCACCAGGTCGCCATTGCTGATGCCTCTGTCCTTGGAGTCTCTTCTTATCACTGGGATGGGCTCTACACTGCTGCAGCCCTGGTCCCTGCTGTCCCTGCGAACAGATGGTGCATCTACACTGCTACAAGTACGGTCTTTGCTGTTGCGCCTGTGGGATAGTTGCTCAACATTGCTGCTGCCTCTATCTTTGTCTTTGTCTTTGTCTTTGTCCCGGTCTTTGTCTTTGTCTCTGCGATGCGAGGGACTCTTTGCTGTGGCGATCCTTGGAGTCTCGCTTTGACTCCTTGCTGTGACTGTGGCGCTCCTTGCCTTCACGCTTGGACTCGCTGTGAGACTTGCTTTTGGACTCAGCTGTAAAAAAAAAAAAAAAAAAAAACATTTAAAAAAACATATTCAGGACATGAACACTGATTCTAAATTCCAAGCTTATTATGCTGTAACTGATGATGCATTCAATAAAATGAACATAAAAGATTAAATATGTCCAAATACTTTAAAATGAAAATGCTTGAAATCCAAATTAATGAGCAAACTGCATAAAATGATTGAATAAAAAAAAAAGGTCAAATTAATCCCTTGGAGGAAAAACAAGAAGAAAGAATTAACAGATTTTCTACTTGATGTTTCTGCAGTACCACCATTCATTCTCCAGGTGTCACTCACTACCCACTGTGGCAGCCGCATCAAGAGACTGCAGTCAGATGAGTCAATACTTGTGCTACAGAAATTAAAATTGTGCTCATTGTAGTAAATAATAAACACTTTTATTAACCATTTAACACTTATTAAGCCATATCGATGCAAATGAACAACTATTAGTTTGTTTATTTATTTTCTTCCCTTTACTTTTCTACACATTTTAAATCTCAAATTCAAAAGTTTATCATAATATAATGGATCTGAATAGTAATAATCACCTGATATCGGATGTCTTTCTGTTTAATTTTAATGATTTATTAAAAAAAAAAAAAAAAAATCTTAAGAATATTGTTTTTGAATATGCTTCAGCCTGTGTGCATAGAAAATACTAATTATTAACCGGATGTATGTCACCCATTCAACGCTTAATATAATCCTTTCACAGATATAAATGTATATGCATGACTGATCTCCATGTAGGATGCTTCTCTATATGGTTTCTATATGGGCTTTAACATACAGTACCACGCACAAGCATCCCTGGTCATCCGTATCTCTTGTCATGTTATGCGTCATACATAGCTCTCTAGAGTGTGCATGCATGTGTGTGTGTGTGTGAGTGGGAGCGTTGCGATTAACCAGTTGTAAGTGGGTCAGACTAGCTGTTGCTGTCTCGATTGCCTCAGAAAGGCAGAGTAAAAAAAATTAACCTTCATTCATCCTGGTAGGATTGTGCGGTCTTTACACTGCGTGTGCACATAGCCAGTCACAGAGGCAAAACACACAACGTGTCAGTCCTGCAGTGCAGCCTAATGCGGTGCATGTGGTGTACACAGGTGCTAGATTAAAAGGGCCAGGCCTTGATGTATAGAAAGCATATGCAAGCTGTTTATAAGCCATATGGGGCTAGAGAAGTAAATGCTGTCAAATGGCTCATTGGTAAGACATTTTTTTGGCACCTGAATGCACCCGTATGATAATCTAACCAACACTTAATGTTAGACAATGCAAGACAATGCATAGAACTTGCAGGGCTTAATGGCAAATGGTCACCAGTTTGCACACACATACATTAACTGGAACATATACATTTCAGTAAAGTCAAAATAGCCAGAAACCTAAAAAATGTCTCAGCCTTCACAGTCCCCATCTGCACAGCCGACACAGCTCCCTGATTGGCTTTACACTGAGTAGGGTGTGTGTTAATTGGACAGAAAAGAGAATCTGAAATCCTCTGATCAGGTGAAGATTTGAGTTCAGAGCTGCAGCTTTCCTCCAACAGGAGCTCATTGCTCCGCTGTAAACCAGCATGCCCTGAGCTGTGATTGGCTGCATTACTCACGGGGAGGGAAGCTGCAAATAAGAAACACGGATTTCCATTCCTTCCACTGTTGCTATGTTGTAGTTGCTAAGAGTGTTGAGTAAAGATGAATGTGTGGACTCTTTTGAACTCCTCTTTATGATTTATGCACAAAGGTGCTCTGGGAACACCAGTCAATTTGAAGGACAGTTAAAAAAAAGTAAAACTCTTTTTCAGCTCTGAATAGGAGGAACTCTGACTAAAGGGTCATTCTCTGAGTTAAATTTCAATGTAAATGATTAAATACTCAACATTATTTATCAGTGACCCTTTACAAATACTGCACAGCATGCTGCAACTACACAAACCCTCATGCATGAATGCAACAATTATGGTTTAATGCCTGTACTCAGCCATATTTAATTCATTTACATTACATTAGATGTCAAAACACTGAGGCTTATCATAGCTATTCTAACAATAAAGGCTTCGCATTAAACACAATAGTGGCATGTCGATTTTTTTTTTGACTGTCTGCTAATGCAGCTTTCACCAGACATGCCATATAAAACAATATGATCATTTCTGCAAACGTGTTTTAGTGTTTTTTTACATCCTTTTTGTAAACTTAAAGCAATGTGTACGCCTATGATTAGGAGAATATTCTGCTCTCCTTCACAGCTGCATTTGTTTTGGCGGGGTCTTGAGTGTGGCATGGCTATCAGTGTTTACACATGATGTTTACATATTTAAAAAGTAATGCTGCCTGATGGCCTAATGCCACGAGTTGTTTGACAGACCTGCTGTCTGCTTTAGTCTCTAATCCCCTGAGATTAAATCATACGATCTGTATGAGACTTGGCTCGCTTGGTCTAGATTAAAACAAATGGAAGGTCTCAGAGAGCGCCCCAAACACCATTCATGGTACGGTGAAAGTGATGCATTCTCTGCACAGCTTTCTAATTATGCAGATTTGTTAATGTGGCAACACAAAACAGGGGGTAAACGAGACTTTTACTTGAGACTAATCATTTGTGTGATCTTCAGAATGAATCCTGTTCATGCTTTTAGCCATTGACCATTTTGGATTGACCTCATCCATATTGGCCATAAACAGTCTGGATTGTTACTCTTCTGTTGACGCATATCATGCTGAGACTTTTCCGAACATTTTTGGGTGTTGGTAGTGTTGGATTATTTTTAACTCTCTTAACTAAGTCACTCTTTGTTACAAAATAAAAATATGTTTATTGATTTTTTAAAAGTGAAATGCAGTAATAAGCTGTCTGCCAACTTTAGGAATAAAAAGACAGTTAAATGGGATATTTTTTGTTGCCTTTGCCTTATGAAGCACCAAAACTTTGAAGAGATAAAAGTGTGAAATGACTCACTCTCTCCAGGTTCTTTAGACTTCCTTCCACTGGTGTTTTTCTTCAACATGTTCCTGCCTGTGGTGAAAAGGTTTGTAAGTTCATCAAGCGGGCTAGTGGGTGTCCTTGATCGCCCCGTTGACACATTCTGCATTGAGCCATGGAGTCGACCCACCCCATCTTGAGGCGGCGAGCCTTTACCATGAGGGGTGGCAGAGGCGCTGCGTGGCAGCCCTCCAGGAAAAGGCATGGGAGCATCAAAGGGAGGCGTACGCATGAGACTAAGAGGGGTAAGACAGCGACCCATGCTGACCGGGGATGGGCAGGCAGAGTGGCTGCGCTGATAAGAGGAAGAGGAGGAGGATTTGTAGAGTGTACATGGAAGAGGAGGTGCAGAGGAGCGGCCGGATACAGTGAGGGTCGGGGTGGCAGTGAGTTCCCTACGGATGTGTGCGGAGGAGGGCGGCTCAGTGGAGGACGTGGGAGATTTGCTGTAGGATTGGTTCTCCAGCATGGGCAGTTTGGTTACATCTAGAGGGGTGAGGGGAGACTCGTCTGAGTTGGGTGAGCACTGAGCGGGCGCCGGTGGGAACACCAGCAGAGGTGGTCGATGGGTGAGTAAATTAGGAAAGGGTGCAGGAATGTCACAGAGGGGAATGTTCCGAGGTGTCGAGCAGCGACTGAGAGGTTCAGGCTCGTATGGAGCTGGGGTGGGGCAAGCGGAGCGACATCCCACAGGGTCTGTGCGATACTCCATATCGTCCAGAGCCGGGTACTTCATCTCCTCGTACACAGACTCTCCGGGCTCCTCGTCCTCGCTCTTCAGGGGTTCTCGTGCTCCGACGTCGACCCCACCCATCTCTATGTAGACGGGTTCGTCCTCACAGTCGTCTGTGGGGCTCTCGTCGCTCTGTGGAGGCGACGTGTTGCGTTCGCAGGGAGAGCATACATGATGGAGGGGTTTAGAGGGACACATGCCGCTGCCTGCGTGGCTCTTGATGAAGGACTCATCGAAGGAAACACTTAGTTGTGTGTTGGGGTTTCTCTTAGGTTTGGGTGGGGGCACCCTCCTGCAGTCCTCGCTGCATCCTTGAGCTGTTAGATGAAAGAAAGAAAGAAAGTGAGAACACAACTACATTGCAGAACTCACATTTACCAGCACTACCTGATAAGTTAACACTATAATATTTGTATTCTGGTTCATCATTCGTTGACTATATTGTTGTGTGTCAAACTGGGGAATATTGTTTTGTGGTTAGACACTAAAATAATGTCCTTAATCTCCTATGCAGCTGCTCCATTTCTTTCACACACAAGAACAAACTGAATGGAACCAAAATCTATTTTTGTGAATCATTTGTCATTCATATAAAGCCCACTGCAGTGTGACGGGTCAGATATAGGTCATCGTGTATAGTTCCGAGCAATAACTTGAGTCAGATTTGTGGGAATAGTTGAGGCATATGCATGTTTCTAGGTCGCATATACGGCAGTGGTGTAGTATGTGAGTATAGTATCTGGGTCACACACACTGTGGAGCTTCTTTCTGATTGTGGTGACGTAGCATTGCAGTGTGAATCTCTTTAGATGTGCTGCAGTGAGGCGATGCAACTATGTTCACGTTCGTGTGGATTGTGCTGTACGGTGCGGTCCTGATGCTGGTTTTACTCGCAGCAGAGAGAGCGATTTTCGGTGTATTTCTAGGTCACACCGAGATGTTTGAATAGAAGTGTCCCTTCATCTGAGTGAAGTGAAGAGATAGACCATGTCTGAAATCTTGCACATTTGACATCTTTAATAATTTAGATGCCAGATGGCCCAGACACATGCATACTTCCTGTAACTGTATGACTCACCGCTGTCACTACATGCACGGCCACACGCATACCTGCACAGCACATGCCAACACATTCATAGGGGAAAATTAGGACTGCCATGGACACATTCAATAAAACCTTTAAAGCCAATCTTTCCAGAGAATTGAGTCTAATCTTGTCAGTGTATCAAATGCCTCTGAATATATGGCTTTGCAGAATACACTGCAGACAATTAGATGGACTGGTTTAAATAAATAGATAACACTTGATTTGACATTTATGAGGTTGATCAAAGGTCAAAGTTGATGTTGCTATAAGGATGTAAAAGAACTACCGTTTCCACATTCTCTCCTCATTTCCATTATTTAATCGTGTGTTAATAGAGGATTTGACTCAACCCAGATGTGTTCTTTGAATATGCTTAATTGCAACTAAAAACTCACCTGTACAGACAAGCCTTCATGTAACCCCAAACCCTTTCTTGTGCCTACTCTTTTGTGCGTGTGTGTGTATGTGCGTGTGTTTTCCTGATCTTAACTTTGCCTTGTTTGACTTTGTGATTTATTGTTGTACATTTTTCTCACTGTTTAATTTGTTTGCTTGCTTTTATTTATGTAGCATTTGTAACTGAGAGTTTTAAAAGTGCTATATAAATAAAGTTTTACTTACTTAATTGGAGTAATGATACTAATATCTGTTCTCCCTTTTTTGTGTGTCAGTGTCTACATGCATGCCATCGTGCATACAAGTCTTTAACTGGGCTTTTAAAAAAAACAATTACCATATGTGTTGATACACCAACAGGTTGGATTTTGAAATCTGCTTCAGCACTGATAATGGTTTCATCCCTCCAAACATGTCCTACTCCTTCTCTTTCGCTTTCTATCGCTGCCTCTTCTCCCCCCTCCCCCTGTAGCGGATGTGTTTACCCGCAACCCCCTCCCCCTCCCTCTCCTCCTGGGGAAAACGAATCTAGGTCAATCGCTCCTCCTGAATGAATTCTACTCTAGCAGGCTCCTCCCTTTCCCGCTACAGCGCCAGCTACAGAGCACGCAACCCTCCCCTCAGAAAGGGACACCCCCACACTCTCACTCTGATTGGCTCGGAAGCCTCAGACTTGAGCATCTCTGGAGCCCCATTGGCTGAAGCTGCTCAGTGATTCTGTGATTGGCTGGGCTGCAGGGGGTCTTGTTTCTGTGGGATGGTTGCCGTGGTGCCCAGGAAGATCTGTGTGCACACAGAGAGATCCCCACCAATCTGCGGTGGGCAGGGCGACTCCCTAAACATCACGTCTGCAATGAAGCATCCTGACTGAAATGGAGTCAAAGCTTTCTGACACCTGTAATTCTTTTTGCTCTCACAGCCACCTGCACCAAAGAGAATTATAATATTCTAAATGTCAGTTTGAATTTTGCAATGCTTTGAAGCTTTTCTGTATTTTCTGCACATGTACACAGGCACTTGACAGTTGGCACCGTGTGCATTCTGCATTTAATACAGCGACAATTAAATCTGTGTCTTGTTGTTTCTTTAGCTCAATTAATTCCTGTCCTATTCGTTTAACTTTGCATACATTGAGTTGATTCACTTTAATTATGCCCTCGTTTTCATTTGTGGCCAAAGAGGCATATTGTGTTTGTTTGTCTTGCTTCAGAAAATTGCTGCAGGGTGCTTCTGCTGGATCACTATCAAGCCATCTTTCACTTTTGGCTTTGCCACTTTTAACTGGAAGGAAGTGTTTGGCCTTCATTGTTTATTTGCCTTGTAGAAATATGAAAGTATGTCATTTTTAAACAAGGTTACAATACAGACATGTCTGCATTTCTTTTATGTAACCAGGAACAGCTTTAGGAACTATTCAAACTAAAAACCTTTAAAAGTCTACACAGCACTTAGATTCATCTACTGGGGAGCTCAGAGCTCAGAAAAATCACAAACAATGTAACTGTCAGTCCTGTGTGTGCTACTATGATACGTTAACCCCAGGCTCAACATGTATGTAAAGGATTCAGAATCTTATACTTATTTTACAGTGTTCTCAAGGTCTTCTCCTGGGATTTTGATATACTTTTCTATTCTTACGTCTGCTTTTGAACTCAATGTGCAGCTCAGGTGTTGTTTTTTAAAAGGTGCTATATAAATTAAGACATTAATATGATGCTATCTCACCATCTGCTGGACAAGGGCAAATGTGAACAATCTAAATAGCTGATAATATAGGAAGTAAAATAGTGCATATAATTAAAAGTGATGACTTTTCCTTTAAATTTGGAACAATTCCTCTTATTTTGGCATTAATACACCAGCCTGTGAAGTTCATTATTCTGAGATCTAACCATATTGGTCCACTGTCATCAAACAAAGAAAGAATGCTTTACACGCAATATCCAAAAATGTCAGCTCATCACTGGTGTGAAGCATTTGTTCACTTGTAGTTCAGTGAAATTCTGATCATCACATTTTACTGAGTTCTGGTGCAAAAATATTGTAACCATGGTTCAACCCCTTCATTCTGATACCTCCTTGTTTTTTCATCTCTAGGGTGCTAAGTGGGAAGTATGCAATGAATAGCTAGATGTCATGTCATTGTAAGAGAAACAGTGCTGAGGAGGTCACTGCAGAGAGCAGCTATATATAGCGCAGCAGTTTGGTGTGAAGTGCCACCACCACTCACCGTCACATCGCTCCCCTCGGCAGGTGGACATGGGACTGTGGTCCACCGCCTCAGACGACATGCTCAGCTTGGTGGCTGGGTCCCTCCTGGGCTTAGGTGGGGGCTGCTTCCTAGAGGTCGGGCTCCCTACCTCCTCCTCTCCTCCACCCCCAGTGTTCCCACCACCAACAGAGTGGAGGGACTGGGAGCGGACAGAGAAGCCCTGCCCACATGCGAGGGCATGTGGGTGGGGCATGCGTTCCTGGGGGTCCGGCATGGTAATGGAGCCCATGCGTAAGTGCTTGCCTTCGGTTGTAATGTCCTCCCCGGTCCTAAAATAAGGACGAGAGGAAGTATGAGAAGAGAGTAGATACAGGGTCAGGGGAATGCAAAGTCCTTTGTAAGTATGAGTGATAAGGAAACAAATATCTCACATATTAAAATATCAAAACTCAAATAACAGCTTTAAAAAAGGGAGAAATATTGACCAAAGTTTAAACTTTAGCCTCTGAAGCTAATCCTGTCAGGAGACAGCTAAAACAGCATGAACCATGTCCAGAAACAGAGTCACTCTGGCATGTTTCAGTTTCTGTTCGCAGATATGTGTTTGTCAGTGTGCATAATGCAGTTTTATATAGCTTAGTTTATTTTATTTTATTTAAATGTCTCAAAACATGATAGTGCTCTTTTCAGTGGCACTAACAGACTTGTTAGTGCCACTGAAAAGAGGGTTTCTGTCAGGATAACCAATTGATTAGAGTTTAACCCTGAATTCGACCTATGCCGCACACACAACCACACACATGTAATGACACCATGGAAGTCCCCCCGCCTGTACACAATCAATCCCTGTAAATGGATGATTGGCCTGAATGGAGCGTTAATGATGTCTGAGTGTTTTGTGGTAATGGGGGAAAGGAGGGCTGTATGCCAAACTCACACACTTGTAATCATAGACATGCACACACCAACACAACCAGGGTCAATGATCTTAAGATCTTACTGTGCTCTGGAACATAAGATGTATTCAAACTTTAATTCTGTAGGTGTATTTGTGTGTAATTTTTCCAATTAAAACAACTAAGCCATAAATATATTACATTCAACAAGATGACTTTACACGCAAGGCAAAAACACATTTTTCTAAGTGTGCATGTGGTCTTTTATGTTTGTATGTTTGTGTTGTTGTTGTTGTTATTTTTTTGCTCCCTAAGTGTGTGACTTTGCTGATTCTGACTCCCTCCAGGCCAGCTGCTGAACAGAAGGTGATTGGTGGGGTGGATTTATTGGTCAGGGGCTTTACTTTGCCTAGCAACAGGGTACCCATAGAAACCAGACACAAAGCCAGCTGCTGCCACACAACAATAATAAAGCGCACGTGCACTTCATACAGGTATCATGATCACAACAAAAATGCATTTAAAGAGTAAAGTAATGATAGGAGTAAAAAGCAACATAACACCAAACCAGGTGTTGCGTTAATTCATAATATGTGTTTATATATTTATTTAATTATAATAATCTTATCATCAATGCAAGAGCTCTTAAATGTCTCTGTAGAAAATATTCGACCAATGCATTCAGCCACAGGTGACAGCAGCCCAGTATTTACATGCTGTCCCTCTCATGTGTTTTTAATGTGCATCTACTGTGATTGTGTGCATTGTGTCTGCCCATATACATGAGATGTTGGTGTGTGTGTGTTGGGAGGGTCGTGTGACTGGACTTTGGGTGACTGGATTATTTATAGGCTATTTGCCCAGTGATTGGCTAGAGGACAGACCACAGGTGCATTTGGACCGGTTGCCGCTGACTTGTTGTCAGGCAGTTCTGGTCCTCTCACTGTGACACCGTGCAAAAGAAAAAAAAATAGAAAAAAACAAACAAATAAGATCTTGAGTGAGAAAAAGATAGGGACAAATCTGTCGTTCTGTGGATGCAGGCATGTTACCACCAAAAAAAGAAAAAAAAAACAGCCGTTCGGAATTTGCAAGTATATTCAAATATAAGAAAATGTGAGTGTGTGTTATCCTTGTGTATGTGGTGTGTGTGTGTGTGTGTAGTGTATGTGTATGTTTACATATATTTGCATGTTTAAGTCCATCTGTGACCATCTGTGTGTTTGCTTGTCGATGACTGTGTGAGTGACTTCTTAAACACAATAAAAGAAACTCAGAGTGAGAGGGAGCAGCAGGCAGGAAGGCCCGCCTCACTCAAACCTAACGTGCTGATCTGATTGGCCTATAGCTGTTCCAGCTGTCACCAGGCAGAACACATCTCCTGCAACTGAGCTCATACTTAATCTCTCACTAACAGTTTTTTTTTCTCCTTTCTTCCTCTTTTAAACACATTTTGCTCTAACAAGCCCTTTCACGCTAACACAATCCCACAAGCAATTTGTTCTTTCCTACCCTTTCTCACACACTTATATATTGGATTTCCCTGTGGTTTGTGTCCACGCACGCACATGTACACAAGCAGGCATGTATGTACTTGATGTTGCGCACGCTCAAATGCAAGCATGAAACCTCATACTATCTCTCACTCTCAGTCAGTTACTGTAAAAATGGGTCGTCTCACTGACCTACTTATATGCCCTCATGAAAAATCCAGTTATTTTTTGGACTCTTCCTCCAGTGACTGTGTATTAATATTTTAGTTTAAGCAACAGCTGAAAGACAATGGAAGGATGGCAGGACAGTCAATGCCACATTCCTCAGGCATCGCCCCATCCCATTCACCAAGTTACCGAACAAGACTGAATCAGATTGCGAACAACAATGGCAGCAGGGACATTGAGCTGGCAAGTGCTGAAAGGGAATCCAAGATACATATGGGAGAATTTGAGCCTAAACCATTTTTAACATGATCTTTGATCAAGCAAGAGATATACACTGATTGTACCATACAATTTATTATCTACAGACAGTCCCTATTGCAGCAGTGAAGCAGCTTTTCTGGTCACATGACCCTTTGACAAAAATGTGACATGGTTCAAAGTTCAGTCAATCAGTTAAGAAGAACCCCATCTGGTCACACAGAGATGCTCAGCCTCCAAAACCACATCAACATAATCATCTGATGCACATTTAAAACTCCCGACAGCTGCTGAAATACTCTGTGCCACGTCAGACAGTGTGACAGGACTAAAGGATTTTAGATTCAATGATGGACAGCATTTCCCATGAGGCATTCTAAAGTAACTGGAGTGTGTTTAGCGTGCTGCATAGTCAGAGTAATCGTCTGATAATTCAAGGTAGGAAACAAGTTTCTCTAATACTTCATGGGTACTTTCTCTCCTCTTAGACTCTGCAGGCTATGTCACAGACACATGATTGCACTATAAAAAGAATACTTCTTTCTGTGTCTTACATGTGTCATTTTCAAATGTGTCATCAATCCAAAAATGTTAACAATTATATGATTTAAAGTTAAAAAAGTATTAAAAAAAAAAGTAGAACCTAGAGTGTCTCTTGGTGTGGTTTCATATTCTGAAGTCCAGTGCTCAGCTTTTTGTGAAAACAAGGCAACCCAGATGTCCATTTCCTCGCAACACATTGGAAACCCCTCTGCAGTGTCCCGCTCACATCCTCCCAAATACTCTGTGACTCATTGCTCGCTGTTCTACCCCACAACACAAGCACGCCTTATACACGTGCCGCTCATGTTGTGAGTGCGTGCCTCGTATTCGCTCAAGTTTTGGGATGCCCCACAGTGGTGTTGCTGCGCATAGTAGCACTGCTTTAACTGCTCGCTCATCTCAACACATGAAACGAGTGTAACAGATTGTCTGACGGATTTCTGATGAGCTTGATAGGTTAAAAACTAATCTCCAATGAGTGTTTAAACATCCTCATAATGATAATTCAACTTTTATACAGTTGGTATTTGCGTTTCTACACCAGGATAGTTGGAAAACGTCAATCACAAGGTCTTTTAACGAGTCTCGTTTCCAACCTTGCATCCCAGCATGCTTTCTGTCTCAGCTCGCCCCGTTCCATCTTAGTTTTGAATGCTCTCTGTATTAAAAATGGAGCAGCAATGACCTCAATCCAAGGACAAGTCCTTAATAAGTCTAAAAGTGAAAATTTAATTATCCTCTCAAGATCATGGGGTGCATTAGTCCACACTCGCAACCTGCAAAATATGGCAACATGCCATTGCCATAGGGACCCTCTGGCCACTTGTCCCAATTCTACTTTCATTTACAAAGCGGAGCCCCTTTGGTGTGCTTTAGAAATAATTAGCTTACCAAAATCCACTCTATTTAAACAAAAATAATCAATGTGTGCCATTTAAGGATACATCTGTGAAAAAAACCTGGCAGTTTTCACACTCAATAACTTTTTTTTAAATCCTACCTCCTTATGGCCTCCACCTGTTTTCTCTTCTTGTCGTTTTTCTCCTGCAGGAATGCTCTATTTCTCTCATTCCTTGCGAGGTCCAGGTTCTGAGCTACCAGGCCGTTGTAGGCTCTCAGCCCATTCTCCTCAACATACTGGAAAAAACGGAGAGTTTCCTCCTCTTGGGAGCTCATCATTCTTCAAGTGTTTCCACAGCATTCTGATAGAGACATATTGAAATTGTTAATGGCAATTGATAATACAGAGGAAAATACTCTGCCACAAGATAATACTAGGAGAAATGCAGGGAATCGTGAATGCACATTATGTGGATGCAAAACAAGCAAAGTGTTACGTCAGTGTTCATTCACTCAGCCTTCATTTTTCAAGGTCAGGCTTGGGGAGATGCAAACTGAGGGAGCAGGATTGCATCAACAGCAGCATAATGTCACAAGTGGATGTTGCTATTGTTTTACATGTTTTTTTCACCGTTGCTGATGAGTTCATGGCCTATGAAAGACTCACAGACTTGCATCATGCCTATGTCCACAAGAGAAAACATTTTTCCCTAGAGGGTTGCAACATCTTGATAGTCAATGTGCACACTTACATTAGAAAAAACACACACGAAAGCTCTGCACATCACTATTCTGATAGAGTACTTCACAACCTTCAGTTTACTTATTGGCAGTTCATCATCAGCGGCTGCTCATTTTCTCAGTTGTGTTTGCACGTTTTCTGGCTGAAATTATAGGCACCGACCGAGTGAGTGTCTGAATGAAACAGAAGAAAAAAAACACTTTCATCTTCTGTAGCTGTGAATTACCAAGGAGTTATATATTTTCAGAAGAGGAAATGTATCACCCCTGGGAGCCGTCACAAGGATTAAATGAGCAAATCTTGCTAGACTGATGTGTGGTTTCGCATATGCGGAAATATCAGGATCAATCTTGTTTTGAAGAGCTAAAAATAACCCTCTCTTCACTTGGTCTTTGCAGCTTTTTATTCCGTTAAAAGACGAACACTGACAACACCATTGCCATAGAAAAAGAGTTTGGATGTATCTGTGAGGAAAAGCCTCTTCAAGAAACACTAGCTTTTGCACACATTCATAATTCATACCTTGTTATTGGTAATCTTTTAAAAAAGCATGCCATGCCATGCAGCCACTCAAGACCAACACCCAGCATGGAGCGCCTAATGATGCTATTCAGTGTGCATGCAAATACAGTATGCATTTGCCTGAAAGCATGTTCAACTGCATGTAACCAAGTATGTACCATGAGTAACAGCCAAATGTGAATTTGGAGAGGCCAGTGGTGGAAGAGAAGAAGACCGTGCACGCTTTTATGTAGGTCAATGTTTTCAGATCAGCCTAAGACTCATGCTTGTTTACGTGTGAAAGACGCACTGAGTGTGAGCGTGTGGAGGGGGAGGGGCTTGTGATAACTGTGTATGTATGTTTGTGTGTATGTGTATGTGGCAAGGGCATCAAATGGGTTAGAGGAGGGGGTGGGGGGGGTTTGGGCTTGCCAGATGGAGTGTCCAGGGCAACTGAGAGACTGGCCATTGTCTGGCCATCCTCAGAATCCCTCTAATTTTGTGTTTGTCCATCAATAGGTCCAGCATGGGGCATGGGTCAAATGGTTTATCTGCTGGTTCCACTCTCTATAACATGCTCTCAACATGCCTTAGCTTAGGTTTTAATGCACATGAGAAGGGAACTGAAAAAAGCAAAAACGAACCGCCATCTTGGAGTAGAGTTCAAACTAGGGCACAGCTTCCCGGTGTCTAGTGGTGTAGAGATTTTTCTCCCCTGCTTATCAGGTCTTATCGCTGACGCACAGGCATAGTAAGAGGTCAGAAGCTGCACAAAGGACGTAAGTCTAGGTTCCTGACAAGAACAAGGTGTACCGGTTAGATGTGTGAAGGGTGCAGCAATAGGAAGGTACAGTTCAAACAGTGTTTGAGCAGAATTAAGCCTGCCTGCTTAATCCTTGTAAGCCTGCAGCTGCACTCTGCACTAGAATCAGCTTGTTTATCACACTGTTTTTACCAACTGAGTCTTTCACATTGGATTGTCCTCCGCTAAGTCATTGATGGAAAATACTATTCTTATTTTCTAATTTCTTAAAAAAAACCATGGAATAACCTATTTTCCCAAAACAGCTTTTATTTTCATTAACATTCTCTTTGCTTTACCCTTCACTGGATGCAATTTCTGTTATTTTTCTATCCCATCTACATTTGCACCAGTTCACATGGGTTGCAACAGTTGGAACACAGATGTGTACTTGGCTTTAAAAGTAAATTAAAGTGGCACATTGTTTCTGTTTCCATGCAACCGTGTCACGGGGAAAAGGGCTGCATGGATATTCTAGAGACAAAATGTCAAAAAGATTGCAAGGCAAATTGTCTGGTGACATGTGTGGGCGCTCGTGCATGCAAACACACACACACACACACACACACACACACACACACCACACACACGGTGAGGGCTATACAGTGGACTAAGTAAAGATTAACCTGTAAAGCAGGGCACATGCAGGAGTTACACTTGGCATCAGTGCTTTCAGAGTTTGTGTGTGCACATGAGTAGGAAAAACACGTGCATGCATGATGTGTATAACATTAGCAGGGGGGTACATAGCTTTTAGGCATTTTAATGTTTGTTTTGTGTAGGCAATGCTCAGATGCATACTTACAATGGGGCTGTGTCCCTGCTGGTTTGTCGACCAACGTGTCTTCTGTCTTTCCCTGATGAGTCCAGTGCACGCTTGTGAACTCTGACCTATGCTGGAGCACCAGTGCACTATTCCACTTAAATCCACATAGACTCCCATCCATTGTATGGTCCCACTGGTTGACTTGCTAAAAGTATTCCCTGTGATCCAGGATGAGGTTGGTGGTAGAGGGGAGCTGGGCCATTGGGTGCCCAGCCCAAGGCTCCCTCCCCTGGGCACAAAAGGGAGATGCGACCCCCTCCAGTCCAGATGTTGCTTAACTCCAATCCAGTTGCCAGCTTCAGAGTTCCACACATCTGCACATGCTAGAGACAGAAAGGAGATGCAGTGCAGCGACAGACCGCACCCGTAACTGCAAACATCACACAAATACACACTCACACTCTCTCACATCAAACTCCCCTTGGAGTTGCACATCAGGCAGTTACAGTCCTTCCAATGCGTCTTTCTCTGAAAGTCTGTCCTTTGGCTTTAATACGTCAGAATGCAGAGAATGTCTCAGAGTAGCACAGATGAAAGGAATCCTCATCCACAATGAAGGTTGAGACCGAGGTATGATGTATGTTTCCAGTTATGGAATTCCCTGCCGGCTCCCTCTTGTCCTGCCTGTCCACAAAGGTCTGTTCAGTTGCTCTGTGCTTAAGCAGATGACACCGGGCATCCCAGCTATAGATCACGACGAGATAAACACGCCCACTGCCTACTGTAGCTACCATCCACTAGAGCGTCATCCTCGCTCCCTATCCTCTCCTCCTTTCCTCTTCCTACGCACCACAGTTCTTGTGGCTGTGCTCTTTTAAACTCATCTTATTCTATGTTTTTGTCTCGCCTGCCTTCGCACTGCTGCTGCACTGTTACTGGAGCCTGGATGTGTTTTTCTGCTTTCAGCACCACGGAGAGCTCTCCCTGTCAGTGGGTGAGGGAGGAGGGGAGGGGGTTGAGTGGGTGGGCACACTTAGAGGGGGCCAAGTGAAAAGAGCAGGGGAGGAAGGAGGAGATGAGAGGGGGGGGGGGGGTGAGTGGGAGGAGTCACAAGGTTGCCAGGGTGTGACCTCATTAGACACAACCTCCTCTTCCCCCGGCAACCACTGCGCTCCCTCTCCCCAGCTACCCCCCACCTTCCCCCCTCTCTCTTACAGCTCGTAAACAAGACCACGACACAAAAACACTTGCAGTGGATACACCGTGTTGCTCTCATGTGCATTCATTACATGTACAGTAGTTAAAACGAAGCAGGAAAAAAAAACATAGGGAAGCAAATGCATGGAAGCAAAACACACAAAAAGGGAAAACAACACTTTGCAATTTCCAATACACACACATTGGACATGCTGATGCCACATTATAATATGTTTGCATAAACAAACAAAGCAAGCATCTTAGAAAAGGGACTTGTTCCCAGTGGTCACAAATATAATGGGGATGAAAGCAGGGACAGAGTTGAGTATGAGTTGTGTGTTATTCAGGGGGCTACTGCAGCTTCTGATTGTCTGTCTAGGGAGCGAGTATTGGTTTCAGCAGTGCTGTGGGTTGTTTATGTGGAGGGAGCGCCTGGTATATGGTGCAAAAGCAGGGGTGGGGTGGGGGGTGGGGGTGAGTAGTGCTGGTGAGGGTGGATGGGGGGGGGCTTACTCGGATGGATTAACACCGTCGACACAAAAGGATTAGGGAGCAGAGATCTGTTGTTTTTATCAACCCTTCCCTCCATTTCCCTTAACCCCCTCTCTCCCACCTCCCTCACTTTCCCCCTCCCTCTATTAGTGGAGGTGTCTCACACTTTACAGGGGGTTAAAAAAAAAGGGATGCTGGTGTAGGAGTAGGAAATGGGGGGAACTAAATCAGTTTTCGCAAAAAATGTGGTAGTCAGTTTAAAGCAGAGATGGGATAATGGTGTTGTTAAAAATAAAGCAAGGGTACCAGGAGCCAAAAATGGAGCAACAATGGACTGGTGGGTTCAGCCAGGTTAGGGATGAACCACTGTGCTGGATCACATATGATTATAAAAAGAGGCATCTGTTTTGGAATTATGACAGCAAAGGTCATTTGGAGGCCTCTTTTGATAATCATATCCAATACAATAATAGAATGAACGTTTGGAGAGTGGGGGAGACAAAGGTACAATAGGGTTAAGATAGACTGTATTTCCCTTCACCCACCTCTCTTATAACAGCATGCCACATGCCATAAAAAGCTGATTGCTATCATCTCACTGAGATAAAATGCCCTGTCAAAAAGGTAGTCACCCCCTTTTTCTGCCTATTGTGGGGAATTGGTCGACTGGTCAGGCACAAAGCAAGTCACTCTATCCAGACCAACTCAGCACACGCACCCATGCACATGCACACATACACAAAGGGCCCCGACTGACCCCGTGTGTGCAATCTCAAAGGAAGTATTTAGATCTCATCAGAGTTCAATGAACACAGACATTGAGGAAATCCCAGAGGTGAATGGGTTAAACACACTTTACCACCTTTGTGCACAACAGTACTTTGTTTTGTGAACAGTGGTGGACTCTCCCTGAGGGACAGAATGGAGGGTGAAATCTGAAAAAAAAAAGCCTGTAACTTTTCCATGAACACACGCTCACAGACAAAGACTTGCATACAGAGAAAAGGGCATTCAAACTGCCTGAATACATTATGAAAATAAGGTCTCACTTTATTCAAATTAATTAGGATTATGCTGATGATAATCAAGTTATAGTTGCTGAGATACCGCTCAGTTACTGCAATCTTATGGGCTTCAAATGGCCAATGATTGGAGGGCTATTACAATTTGGTGGTCAGAAAATCTCACTAATTCATTTGCTGTACTTACATGCCAAAAGAATGTATCAAGGCAATCTGTCATTTGGTCACAAAACATTCAACAACAACAGCAATTCATGTATTTAGTTGACCACTGAGACACTAATGACTGTTTACAAATACAGCCCAACACAGCCTGTAGCAGAGACATGGTACTCTGTTCTATCATGCAAGTAATGATGCTGTATTGATCCACTGCTGTAACAGGCTAATGAAGAGTCCATAAAAAACATTTTACCAATCAATTAAATGCCGCTCAGGCAACAGAGTCCTTATAAATAAGTAATTGACCTCATATACAATGTTTCCTTAATTGGGATTTGTTGCCTTCAATGATTGTAAATGTAAATGCTGGGAGGAGCATTAGTCTTAATGGTACTCTGTATTCTGTCCTCCATGGGAGTGTCACACAGGTAAGGATATGACAGACAGTGGCACTGAAGATGTCAGACTCTCATTAAAGATGCAGCACGGCTTACTTCCACTCCCCACATCTCCATCTGAGAGAAATGGAGCATAATGTTCTTGCTTTGGCCAGCAATTTGCAGACATTTGACCACTCAATGTTGCATGTATGCATGCTGCTATAGTAAATGTATGCATTGCACAACATGCCCTATTTAGAAATCTCTGAAGGCAAGATACAGCATTACTTATAAAGATTTTTTTTTAACCAAATCTTATCCAAATATTCCTTAGATTTCAGCAGCACAGCATAAGGTAATGTTCAACTTAATCGAGCCTCTCAACACTCATTTATCACCACTTCTTTTCCTCCAGAGATGTCAAGCTGAGGCATGTCTCTTAAGACCACCCTTCACATTTCCCGCTGTTTCCCCTAGACAGAGAGGTGAAAATAGGAGACGGAATAGCGTAATCTCTCAAACAGGCAGTTGAGGGCTCCAATCTTAGGGGTTTAACCCCACATAAACCTCTTAAATCCCCAGTTTAGAGGGTCAGAACTGATGGCCTGAAGCCCCCAAAGAGTGTCCACTAACAACTGGACTCAGACACAGCATGAAGGCACATAATGAAGGATCCCCTCCAGGTCAAAGAATCGGCTGGCCTTAATTGGCATCCGAAGAGACAGTGTTAATGACCATTTAAAGAAGGTTAGCATGGGGATGAAGCCACATTCTGATTATTGTGTAAACTCTGACATTATTCTTTGGTCATAATAAACCAGTGCTGTGCAAATGCCAGGTTCTATGTTAAACTACACGGATGCTGTTGACTGATGACGCTTGATAATGCTTGCTGGCTGTAGAGAAAAAAAAAATCCTGTCACCTCAGATAGGAAAACATAATAAATTATTATGACCATTGTCACCTTGAAACTTGTTTTACTGTGTACAGAAAACTTAACCTGCATTTATAAACAAGCACGATAACTAGGGTTGAATTTTTAACTTGGGTTATTGGCACCATCTGCTGACCAACTATAGAAGTGCATATATTTCAGACAATGAAATTGTTTTCTGTTGTTTCATGGTTGTAAAAAAGCATGAAATTACTCTCTTGAAGCATGAGCATCATGTGTTCTCGTCATATAAATATCTCTGGTAAAGAAATACTGTTCACTCTCTAGTTATTGCTAATCAAATGTTTCCTATCTTCTGCTACTAAAATACTCCCTCTCTCAGTGATATGCCAGTTTATTATAATTTGTGTTTTTGTGGTGCAGTAATCAAGATGTGGTATAAACACATGATCACAATTCCAAGCTTGATCTAAAAGCAACTGGACTGGTTCAATCAAGCTTCACATTTGACTGAGAACCTACACGGACATTATCACAATGTTAATCTGAAATAAGAAACAAAGGGAGCACAGTACAGTAAAGTAGCCTAGTTTGAATGTGGCCTTAAGAGCTAAAGCCAGAACGAGTGAAGAAGTATAGTGGACATACAACCAAAAGGTATGTAAGGCCTATAATAAGTAAAAGAGATTTTATTATGTATCAAAGCTATAGCCTATCTGTCTGACTGAAAATCATCAAATGATGAGGCAGAGTTAAAGCCAGAGGAAAAAGAATAGTTAAAGATTGTGTTTCTTGCTGGTCAGTGAGGTTGAGGCCCAGGGCCACCACACAGAAACACTATTGCTGCAGCTTGTGATCTCCCCAGTCTGATTATTCTCTTCTTTGTGGTCTAATAAACAGCAAATTCGTCAAATTCAGTGTCTTACATTGCTTTTTTTTTTTTTTTTTGCTTTTTTTCAAATCTAGCAAAGCTGACATGGGCTACTTTCACTAACTGGGGGAATTAAGTTTTTAGCCATTGCACTATTTCTACAAGTTTTAATCCAAATCAAAGTTTAGTTCATGCTAGCCCGCCCAACTACCTGAGAGTGTCTGTTAGCTATCATGGCTCTCTTACCTTTGCTACAAACAGTTCTTGACAGGCAGGGGCGATTTTAGGATCTTTAGGGGTGCTCAGCTCTTCTGAAAAAAGAGACACGTAAAGTTCCTGTTCAATCCTGCTAAACCACTCACTTCATGAACAAGAAATACTTTCCTGCATGCATATTTTATTAACATTAATAGTAACAGAAAGTTACGTGAGTTTTACACCACACAAATATTCTTTGGAGATGAAAGGAGGAATATGCCGATTTTGCAAAAGTATTCAAGTCATGCTGGTATTAGGCTAATAGCCTATTGAATTATTATTTGTATGTTATTTTGTAAGAAATGAAGCATAATCGGTATTTATACTCATTGTTGAGCCTTACTTTAATGCCAATACCGTTAGACTATTATATCAAAGTTTTGAATGCATGGCTTTAACATGTTTATTTCCTTTTTTATTTCAAATGTATTCAACCGGGAAATCTCATTGGGATAAATTGTCAAGCCACTCACCTACTGTCCTAAGATTCACACAGCTCTAAACTTTCCTTAAAAAAAAAAAGAGTCAAAGGAGCAACATGTAAGTCTGACATCTAGCGTTTAAAAATTGGTACTGCAGTCCAAATTCTAAAACATTGACAAGAGCTGTATTTAACCACGTGTATTCTGACCTCTCCATTTTTCAAAAGCATCTCCAATATGTATCCTAGTGGTCTTGCTCTATGACATGAACATTCCCTGTCATAAACCTACTCTTTTTGTCTGAATAGACTTGTAAAAATATAGTCATGTTTTCAAAGGAATATTTGTTTATTATTTCCAAATGTTTTTTTTAACTTATTGTCTCTTAAATTCTATATGTTTACATATTTCATACTTAATTGTATGTTTTTTTCCCTCTGTAATGACGCTTTTGATGTATGGTGTGAATCACTTTGAATTCCCTTGTTGCTGAAATGTTTCTATATAAATAAACCTTCCTTGGCTTCCCCTCTTTGGTGTGTTTTACATGTTTGCTTGATGGTATCTCCACGATGACATCACTTTTATTTACCACTTTGTGATGTCACTTTTACGATACGCGTTACTTAAAGTTCAGCTCGAATCTGTCACTCACCAGCTGGAATCAGAAGACAACAAAATAAAGTTATGCAAATGAACAAATAAGACATTTCCGTGTCAGTAAAAATCTATGACTGCAGGGGGCTCTGGAGGCTAATGGGCAGCAGCCTCCATGTTATAAATCCAGCCTCACTTTCAGTCAACCTGACGTCAGGCTAAGAGATGGAGCCGAGGCAGGTTTTAAGCATTATGGCAAACTGTTACATTGTTCATAAAATCAAAACTGATGTGTTGTAAAAAAATTCACCCCCCTTACAGTGTGTGCCCATGAGGACAATAACTAATCAGGCTGCTATCAATTTTTTATACCAGGTTGTAAACATGTCAGTGCTGTAAAAACGGGTTACTTTCAATGGAGTCAGCCTCAAGCAGACCCTCGACAAACTGCTGGATTTTGCACTTCCGCATCGGGTTAATCTTTCACCACCAGAGCTTGCTGTTTGGTGTCGATGTATAATGAAGCTTTTTTTTTTTCCCACAAATATTTCTTCCCCAATAGCTACAATACAATTTTGGCATGCCCAAGGTGCCTGAAGAAAACACTCTCAAGTCCTGGTTGCAGACTGTTTATAATCGAGGCCCACAGACTGTGCACAGATCTGTAAAACTTTATGCACAGTTTACAAATTCGTGCACACAGTCTAGGAAACCTAGAATGGATTTGCAACAACTTTTCATCATTTTCTTATCTGAGCCTGGCATGGCTCAGTCCAAATCTGTTTGCAGAGTTTATCAAATCATTGCCCATGGATTTGTAAACCGTGGGGACAGATTTACAAAGGATTTTTTTTTTGTGTGTGTCATTTTATGTTGTTGAGCTCATTACAAAAACTTGAAGTAGGCTAAGCCAATATCTGGGGTGGTTTTTTTCCTCCAAATGTTTAACGAGTTATCCAGCTGTAGTGGCACCCGCCTCAGTTCATTTACCAATTATGGAGGTGAACCCTAGTTCTTTTATCCAGCAGGTGATTTATTTTCTTTGGGTTGTTTGGACAATAAATGTAGAATAGAAATCACTCCAAAAGGAATGCTTACATTAGTTACTCATAAAAATGCTTAATGCTTATGAAATGCTTACACCTGTACAAGCCCTATTTTTTATGTGCATGAACCCCTGCTGAGGGCCCTCTTCAGGTGAGTTGAGACTAAGCCCAGAAGAAGTATATCTAATTTGAACTGACAGCTGTTCAGTCAAGATGCAGTGGAAAATAAAAAGGCGAATACCCCTTGACTCTGCTGGTCCAGAGGATGCTTCATAGATATGCATAGTTATGCAAAACTGGAAACTACTTTGTACTTAGGCTGAGTACCAGTGTGCCAATCGGATACCCTGACATCAGAAAATTTGTCAGATTATCTAGATATTTTTTTAACTAACTGTCCAAATCTGCACAATGAAAAGTTACATACAGACATACAGCCTGCTCTACTTCACATCTCAACAGCCTGTATTAGTAGTAGTTCCTGTAGTAGTGGGCGAGAGCACCCTCTACTAGATTGTTTTAAATAAGAATGTCGTGATCAGCTGGTGCTGGCATCATAAGGACTCAGACAGACATTGCTACTTATATCTATAGTGTTTAGTTATTGTAGACACTGCTGAAGGCCTTTTAGTCAAACTACACAACACTGACATCTGTAAATCCATAGAGATTTGCTCTCAACCACAGCTGTTTAGCTACCATGTTGTTGTTTTAGGTTCTTAACTTCATTGTACAGCACTTCAACACTTGGTCATATTATGTTGTTTATAAATTTGCTACAAATAAATTTGGATTGTATTATTTTCAAACCATGAAGAAGGGCTGATGTCAGTCTCGTCCCTGTTCAAAGTTTGTAAAGTGTATACTGAGGCATCAGCTGTTAAGTGTGCTATGAATATCCTGAGGTGAATGGCTCCTTGTGCAAGCAGAGGTTTTTGGTTGACACACACACTCAAGTCTTTTAAATTCTATCAATTGTCATTGCTATGCTGTGCTTTTACTTGCTTTTAGTTCTACATATTATTACAGTAACAATGGCCTTTTGTCTTTTGCTGTGTAAACCACGTGAATAGTTTGCCATTAAGACAATCAATATAAGAGAGGTAATGTGGTTACATTCTAAGGAATTAATGGAAAACACTTGGTGTACTCTAACATTTACTTATCTGTCATTTGTTGGAAAAAAGGGTCTTGTCAATTTACTTTTCTGTAATGAATTGTCCTGGTTACATTGTCTTCTAAAGCCTTGCAGTCTGCATGTGGATTCTTACATGTTCCTTAAACAGATCTGTTCTTCACATAAATGTATAGCTTAAATCAATCCAAATGACGAAACACAACTTCTATAAAACATAATGACATGAACATTATGTGATATAACAGTTTATATTGATGATTGTGAAGCCTAAAGCAGCTTTTTGACGTTGTAAAAAAGGCCATGGTGTGATTGCATTTTGCCAAGCATTTTGTCCAGTAGATGGCAGTGATGTTTATCAAATAATTTGGCTTCCCCTTTAAGCGCAAGATTGTAGGGAGAATAAGTTGCCACTCAAATGTCTCTGTATTCTGAAAACTGTTATTCTAAATTGACTGTACTGACCCAAAGAGATAGAAGTCTATCTGCCTAGTGCATGACCTCATCCTCACAAGTCTTGATGAAGACTAAACAGGCATGAGATAGAAAATGATGAAGGTGAGGGTTTGATTAAAAGAGATTGTGATTTGTAGATCCGAAAATAGGCCCTATCCAAGAAGTGGTTAATTTTACATGCAATTCATAATATTTAATTTTATATTCTAACGCAATGGAGATCTGTTTTTTTTTTTTTTTTTCCAGAGTGAAAAAAAAAGTTGAAAAAGAAAATCATATCATGATGCAAATGCTTTCCCTAAAATCATACATGTAGTTTTTTAATATAATATCAAGTTGTTTTGTTATAGCAGCTTGAAATGTTCTCAGGATTATGATAAAGTACCTCCCTTCAGGGTTATTGTATTGAGTTTGAGTTGGGGCACTTAGCTGAAGTAAACAGAGAGGGAGGGGAGTGCGCGAGGCTTTGGAAACAGGCATGCAGACAGCCGACCACTGCAAAGTGTTGAGCGCGGGACAGGCTGGCTTCAGCCCACACACCACTCTTCCTCTATCCAGAGAGAAGACTCTGAAGCTCTGCTGTGAGGCGCTCACACTCATCCCAACCAATAATGTGAGACTAAGACGGAAACGTTCGGCAAATGTTTAAACTCATCGTCGCTTCATTGTACTCCAGCGGCGTCTGTTTCCAACACTGTCACACAGTTTACTGTCAGTAGGCTATCCACGAGGATACCTGGTGTGTGATGCGGCAATGTCCCGAGGAGTATGCCCACGCGTGGACTCTTGCGGATCCTTTGGATTTGGTCGGCGATCATATTTGCGGTGGTTGTGATCGACGCGGATGCGTACAGTTGTCATGAAGTGAGGACTGCTTTCCAGCTGCGACAGGTCGGGCCGCTGCACCGCGTACCGGAGACACCTGGCACAGGTGAGCCAGTGGGTTTGGCACCTCCAAGTGAAGAGCACTTAGGCTAAAGCGCACTGCAACTACCATAGATTGAGCCAAACAGAAGTCACCACAAGTAGCCTACCTTAGACCACAATCATAGGAAAACATAAGCTGTTTTTATGACTAACCTACATATATATTGCTTCTGTCAAAAGCCCACGTGACTCAGTAAACAATTATTTGAAGTGGTCTCCATAAAACAAATAAACCAGTGACAGCAGGGAGAGATTTAAATGTTGAGAGACAGAGCAGATAATTTGGCCTGGTACATTTTTAAAGTAGTCTATGTTAAACATATTTCTGAAGTCTTTTATAAAGTACCAATCTCTGATGTTATATTTGTGGGATACTATTGATTATTATCAATTATGATATGTATGCTAAACAATATAGCATATTGACATATTAGAACTGATCATGAAGCAAGGGATTTATGTCTCCATTTGCTTTTAAGCACCTTTTTGTATATGCATTTTATGTTCCTTGTACTTTTATTTCTCCCCAAACGCAACTGTATAGAAAAAGTGTTAGTATTTTAATGGTACATGTTTAAATTATTCTGTTTGGTTATATAATATTAAAGCTGCTTGATTTTTCTTCACAAATTGCAGATGAACATGCCACCCAGATGTTTATCATAAAGCAGTCTGTTTGGAGAGATTAAACAATTATTTTGCACTTTTTTTTTGGCAAAAAGCCGAACAGCACATTCACAAGCTGCTGAGATAAGCTTTCTGAGCCAGAGAAAGTCTAGTGTGATGCAGAGGACCCATTTGGTATAATCTCTGTGGATACAGAGGCTCCAATATTTCGTCAACAATAGGGAAAATGATAACTTACAATGTTTATGTTGTTTTGCAAAAGGCTTTATATCATGAGACCACTTTAAATACTTGGGCTGGCATTGGCTTTTTAGCCGGCTTGGGTCAGAAATCAATCTTTATTTCGATCAATCAAACTTGATTTGTATCGCACCAATTCACAACAAATGTTATAGTGAGACACTTTTCAAAAAGTCGTTGAAAGACCTTACTCATTGTTATGTTACAAATACCCAATTTTAATCCCAAATGAGCACAACACTAAGCAACATTTGTCAAAGTCACAGAGGCAAAAAAAAAGTTCCTTTTAAGACGCAGAAATCTTGGGCAAAACCAGGCTCATGGTGAACAGCCATCTGCCGAAACTGCGCCGGGAATCACAATAATAAGCATACATTCTTTTAAGAGTTCCATTGATAAATGTTTTTTGCAGCTCTGCAGACATAGATGAACTATTAAAAAAAAAAAAAATCTGGGAACTATGATAGTTAGTTTGTCGATATGAGGTGGTGTGCTTTCTTCCTGCACACGGAGGAGAAGTTGTTTAATGAGGACGAACACTGGTCCCAAATCTGTTTTGGAGGAAAATCACATTTTAAATGCATGTAGACTTTGGATCAACTATGCTAGTTTTGCTTGAAAGTTATCCTGCAGTGCAAACATAGTAGCACACTTCATCACGGTTATCTGTGAGTCTTTAGTCCTTAGAGATATCGATGATTTCAGTTTTTTCCTCATGAATACTCTTACACCCACAGGCATACGATGACAACTATCTCTATGACTCTTGCTCAGAATTCTTGCTGCATAGTGTCACATGCAGGTTGGTGGAAGCTTAAGTATCACCCAGCCTGAGTCTACATGCTTTAACAGGGAGAAGAGCAATAGATAGCTGAGTGGGAAACATACCTAGAGGTGCATCCAAACCACTTGATATGTTTGTTTAGCAGGGTATCGCTACTAGCAACAGGGCATGTCAATTTCCAGTCTGGAGCGAGACTTGGATGACAAGGTTGTACAGTCTTCAGAGCGTTGGAAGAAGCTACAGTAGAGTGTGTCCGCCTTAAATCGCAGCTTCTGAGCAGTATCTCATCTTACAATGAGAAAACAGAAGTACACGGTACAGTGTGAGTGGTGTGCAATAGCCTTTACTTGTAATACATTTACTTCCCCCACATTTTTATTTGACTCTGTCTCACCCACTATCTAACCTTAACATTTTGGGGCTGATGTAATCCAGATACAGACAGTGGCACTTCATTTTGGACCTTTAACTGATAAAAATGTTTGTGTTTGCTTACAAGGTGTGATGAACTGCATTTCTGTTCATTTTCCCTCCACCACCTCTTTGGCCTTCTTTCTCTCCCAGCTAATCAAACATAGCAGTAGTTTCCAGGAGTACATTTTGGGTTTCTATCTTATTTTGCTCTTTATTTGTCCTCCTTTTCGAGATGTTGCTCTGGGTCAGGCCCAATCTTTTCTTCAAAGCGCTGACCAATGGAATGGGGGTGTTAGAGTGGGAGATTTGGTGTATATGTGTGTGTGTATGTGTGTACACAATTTCACTACTCCGCTTCAGTACTCAGATCAAATGCCAACAAAAGCAAGTCTTGAAATTTGAAGTGGCAAAGCTTCAGCCCTTTTCACAGCCTGGTGTTTGTTTTAGGATACAGTGCTGCGTTTCATTCATGTGTGGCGAGCAGATTTCACACTAAGCGCCAGGAGGAGTGCAGCAGCAGGGAACTGAAGAACAGGCCTTTTGGATATGATCTTATAATAAAAAAAAACAACCACATCTTTACAGTTCAAATATTTTATGTAGTCTTCCTTTGATATCCTGTAAGTAGGATAGTGCCTTTTAATTAGTAAAGCAGTAATGGGGGGAGTATCTAAATGTTTCATTGGAGAAAATAGTAAAATACTTAAATGTTAAAAAACAAATAATAATAAATTATCTATTATTTCATTTTGAGCATTTCTGATATGTTCAGAGTTTATCTCGTTCCAGTTATCAGTGAGTGGCACCAAGTTGTTTATACTCTAATTTATTTGAAAACCTTTGCCCACTTTGCACTGAGCTACACAGCAAAACATTTCATATTGAGATCTCATTATGTTGCTGATATAACCCTAAGGAGGAAGTCATTGCTTCTTGAGTTGCCTTTTTGGATCATTTCCTCAGATTTAACCAACCTTTTATACAACTCAATAAAATCTGACTAAGCAGATTTGGTCTGATTGTGTTCAAAACCAACACAGATCCCCTTCTTTAAAAATTTATTACCACTGCCAGTCCCTGATTTACCGAGTCATTAACAGCTATTTTAGAGTGTAAGAGAAAGTGTCTCATATCTTTATTACAAGGCAAGCAGGGTCATGTGTTAATAGCGAGGGAATGGGAACACAGTGTGTTATCGCATGTCGCCACATCCTTAACCAGTTACAGCAGCGTCAAAAACCTTGGCAAGCTCTCAAAGATCAACATGGCCTCTGATTGGCTGCAGTTATTTTGATGCTCTTTTTAACTTTGCCTTTCTCACTGAGAGAGCATACACACGGTGCCCTCTACTGCATACAAGCTCATAATCTTTTAGCATTCATGTTAAAAATCTAATTCTACATACTACATTTATTTCCATTAGAAAAAAAAATACTAAAAAAAATTAGACCTCCATCTACTGGTTAAACAAAACAAACAAAAACCACCTCTCTGACATGGCTTCAATTAAAAAGACAGATAATTGAACCGACCGTTACCAGCTGTCTTTCCAGTCCACCCCCAAACAATAAAGCTTCACCAGTCTTCCCCAGTCTGAAGCTGATTTTTCTTTCTAAGTCGGTCTTTACACACCACATCTTATTGGATTGTGTTTCAGTGAATTGTGCTACCTCACTTTCCTGGCTTAGTATAGGTTTAGGAGAATTAGATTGAACAAGGTTTTTTAAACTAAGTTTATCATCTACTGCACATCTCTAGGATAATAACCATTTTGAAAAGATGAACTTCTTGTGCTCAAGGAAAATATGTAGTACTTGAAATGTAAATCTTCTCATATATTATGGAGAATATTAATGTAATTACTATTCAAGGCTGTGGCTTTGCACCTCTCTGCTAAAATGCTGCTTCATCAGGTCTGCATCTATCTGTCCACACATTTTCCACTCCCTCTCTAAACTCTGTCCTTCCAACCTCTGCCCTCTTGCTCGGCTCTGGACCCCATGCCAATCACTGCGGGCAGTTCCAGCTTTGAGTTTGGGAAATCTAAACATTCCAGTTGAGTCTCAAAAGACCCTTTGAAAAGCTTTTTCATTCAACTTGGTCCATCCAAAACACAGCAAATCTGTATAGAGTAAATATCCTGTATGTTCAGTAGATCTGGGAACTTCAAAGGAAACTTGCTTCCTGAGGCAGGAGAAGGGTCACTGCATTAATTGCCCAATTTCGAACAAAGTTATTCCTGTTCTCAAAAAAATATCAAAACAGCAGCGTCAGGAAACCACAACCGTCCCCGTCATCAACACATTCCAAATCAAATAAACTTGCCACATAATTTTAGGAGATTTGAGCTTCATACAAGTCATTTTCCGAGAGCTGGAGGTTATGCACTTGGCTCTAAAGCAGTGGTTCCCAAATGGTGGTATAATATATATATATATATATATATGTATATATAACCATTGTCATGAAGTGAGATTTATGCTTAAATGAAAGTGATGTGTTTAAAAAGTCCTTAAAATTTCAGTTTGTAGATGGCAGCAACAATGTGGGAGCCAGAGCTACTTATTCCATACAAAGATGTAAAAACCTGTGTGTTATTAAGTCTTATATGCCAACTCAGGGACAATGTATACACAATGACTTGTATTCTGCTTCTAGCCTTTCTTAAAATAAATAAGTACAAAAAGTTATATACTTTAACTATCTCTAGGAACAGTGGGGGTCCCCAGTCTGTAGCACCTTCATTTTAGGGTTCAGAAGCTGAAAAGTTTGGTAACTCATGCTCTAAAGGATACTTATAATTTCTTCTGAGCATATTCTGTATTCAGCTCTCTAAAGGGATACTTCACCCATTTTCATTAAGCTTTGTATCATTAGAAACCTGGTAGTATTTTTGAATGGTCATGCATCCCGCCTTCATTTCCCCTGAGATGGGAAATTTTTCTATTTCTAATTCTGAAAAGGACCTTCCAGTGACGCAAAATGCCGGGAGCCCGGCCACCGGGAGCTCGGCCGCCCGCAAGCCCAGCCGCCACAAGCCCGGCCCCCGGGAGCCTGGCTCCCGGGAGCCCGGCCGCAACACAAGACCGGCCTGTCGGCAGCAACCGTCTCGCGGCTACATTGCCGCCACCGGCCGCTGCCAGCTCAGCAGCAGAGACATGATGCCTGCCTGTCGGCGGCGGTGAGAACGAGAAGCCGGAGCCGAGCTGAGGTGGACTGGTAGTGTCGGTGCTCTCACTGTTTGCCTATGGACACAGACATAGAGTCTGTTTTCTGCCAGGAATTTTTCAATTCTGGAAGAAATCTCTGAATCAGTTGAGGAAATGGCCTCATGTGTTGAAGTAAATATGTCTGTAAATGTTTTTATTACTATATTTCTACTGCTATACTGTATATTTTGGAGAAACTGTAACGATCGAATTTCCCTCTGGGATTAATAAAGTATTTCTGATTCTGAACTAGAGGTCCTTAGTTGGAGTGGCCTGCGGTGCTGTGCATTCTGGGATTTAGTGTCTTTCATCAACATGAGCCAAAAAGACAATTTCTGCCTTTTCATGGCCAAGAAGGCACCAACTTCAAAAAAAATTTCACAATTCTACTACATATATGACCCAATGTCAATACAGATTCATGTTTCAACGGGTGAAGTATCCCTTTAACTGTCACATCAGATATTGAGAATGCCATGTAAGTTAGGGCTATTACTCAGAGGTAGAGATTCTCTATCAGGAGTTTTGACTTTTGCAATAAAGGGCACTGGGGTATTTATGAATGTACTTTAACTAACAAGCCGTGACCCCTGAGCCCTGGCTTTAATACAGAAATGTACTCGTGGTATTTTTCACCAGTAGACAATTAAGCAAATTAGCATTCAGACTTGACACCCAGTCTGGAGAGCCAAGTGTGTTCAGGTTTATCCAGGCAAAATGAACAGCATGCACAGTGGGCACTAATTATATAGGAACATAAGAGCTAAGTCTTCTCTGACTGTTTGAGTCACTAGTCAAATGTTACTATATGAAACCAGAAGAACAGCCATAGCTTGCAGGCTTAACGTTTGTAATTCATACACTTGTTGCACATAAGCTGTGTTAACCAATCCCCATATTACAAATATTACCATGATATTCCATGCTGGTACATTTAAACTTTTAATTGCAGTCCAATTTATCCGTTGTCGCCATTTCAAATACATCAATAACTCTAAAATAGAGTTTTTAAACCAGCCATCCTAATCAATCCAACAATCTTTTTTTTTGCACTCACCCACATTACACCGAATACAATTATTTCATAAAAACGAATAATCATGGAATGGTTGAAAAAGAAAAGTCAATGACATTTAAAGGTCTGAATTATCCATATTTGTTGAAATAAAAACATAAGTTTAGTTAAAACATCCTTTGAAAAAGAAGGCAGACAGATATTAATAGATTCCGTGTGTCCTACATTGAAGACTTCAATGACTCTTGAGGAGTCCTTCGAAGACTCCTGTCCTCAATACATATTTTAGTTTACCCTTCAGGCAGAAGCCACTAAACTGCTTTTGAAATCATACTGGATTTTAAAATGTTTTCAAAGACAGAAAACACCAGGCTCAGCAATATGTTCACTGTTGCACACACAAGCAATAGCATGACATCTAATGATCGCAGAAAGTGGCCCTGGCATATATTCATGACACAGTCAGGCTGTCCTGTCTGCTGTGGTGGTTTAACAGCCAAAGACTCTCTGAGTATCATTTACTCCATGCATCTACTCACAAGGGACGGAGAGGCCAGGCTGGATTCCACTGTGAGTCCCTGGATATAAGTTTCATATCACTGATAACACACCAACACAAAGGAGAGAAAGAGGCAGCCAGAGAGGAGAGCAGGGTCAGGGACAGAAGAGGAGAGGGGACAGATACCAAATATGGTGAAATGGCGGTCTTTAAACAGGATTAAAACAACAAATCTTGCTTTCAGTGTGCAATGAATATTTGAAAAGATCGACATCTTTCCCTTGAGGATTACACTATGCTTTTCAGATGCAAATTAGTAAGGCTATTTTGATTCATTACTTAAGGTTTGGATAAATGGCACTAAAGATTTATTGCTGAGAGTTACAGGTTGGCAGTGGGACGAGGTTTGCTCTATCCAATAACTCGTATCATGAAAGAGATCTGTTTAAACGGTTACCTTTTTTATTCATAGTTTTGACATCTAACTCAAGAATGAGGTGGTAGACTGCCAGCAGTAATTACTTTTTCTTGTATCTCTGTGACCCTAAATGAATTACCTAAGTTTAGACTTAGATGCTCAGCATTTTTTGAAGTTACTCCTGAGTTGACATCTCGTTTGGGAAAGCATTTACTGGTGACATTTATTTATTTTCTAATTTCATCCCAATCTAAGTTTACACCTGTAGACATCTATGGCTTGTATGTTGAAGAAGATTTCTGGTTTATTTATTACTCCCATCAAATATAGGAAAAGAACACTAAAGCACACTTAAGATGGATTAACGCCCGAATCAAACAAAAATGTCATGTTAATTAAATACTGTATAGGTTAGAAGCAAACTTCTGGTAAAACAATATAGGAACGTAAGATCAGCTGAGAAACAGTGTCGACAGGGAAACAGTGTCAACATAAAAGGAGTGGACTGCTACAGAGAGGGAGATAATGAGCTGGAAAGGGGCAGGACAGCCAGTTATGACTTCACTCGTCTGGCTCAGGGATGGGAACAAATGGAGCCTCACTGGGTAATTAAGAGACACCCAGGCCTCACTAGGATATGCCAGGCAAATGAGAGAGAGGGGGCAAAAAGGGAAAGAGGGATTGAGAATGCAACCCTATTGTGTTTCATGGAGGGATTTGGACAGTGAGGCACTGGTCTTGCGGTCTGTCCTAAGACCTTGCTTTAGGCTCTGGTTACAACACCTGCCTCCAGCTACCCCCTGTCCACCCCCCATCCCGCTCCCTGTAAAAATGAGTTATCATTATAGACTTCTGCATTATGAAAGTGCTCCTTTGCATGTTCATTTTTGCAAGGAAATATATGGGAAGGGACAGTTTTAATAGCTCATTCTTGGTGTGACCAGTCTCAGTGATGTCATGACACTTTTTGTATAAGTATAGATGGTGAGAAGCAGGTGACACTGCCTGGCAGGGCAGACTGGACTCTGTTTCAGCTGATGTAATTGTGCCTGATTGAGCTGCTCTTTGGATCATAGTATTTGCAGTTAGGTCATTGCCTCCATGTGCTCATAATGAACTGCAGTGTTATGGCCACTGTCTGTCTTCCTCTGATGTCACACAAAATGCCTTATGTGTGTGTATGTGGATGTGTGAGTTATATTCAATTTTCATTGCGAAATGCCAGTGCATGCATGTATTTTTAAGTTTATATAGGACTTACAATATACATACACGTATATAATGTATGTCTTGACGACATGTGTGCAGTGCTTTGAGCCAGAGATATTTATACATTTGGCAGACACGGTATTTATAGCAGGAAACGTGGATGAATTCTTGGTCTACTTTCTCACCCCCCCATGGTGCCTCTTCTGTCTCCCAGTGGAGTTATGGCCCGTCTATCTATGTGCATACTCAGGAGACTATACATGTATCACACATATTTGCACAGTACAGTGTACAGTCATATATAAATATATCTCACAGTATAAAATACATTTTAGTTATCATTATGGTTTGAAATGCTTGAAATGCCTTTTCATGTGTTACCACCGATTTAAAATGAACAAAAAACTAAATGTTAATGAATTAAAATGATGTCTGCTTTACTTCTTTTAGATGTGGATCTTTTGGTCTGTAAGCACCAGGGTCCATCCTGCTGCACCCGGAAGATGGAGGAGAGCTACCAGTTTGCAGTCAAAAGAGAAACCCAACACAACATTCACTCATACAGCTATGAGCTTGAGCACCTCCTCTCCGGCCACTCGGATGCCTTCCAGGGTAAGAGCTGGAACAAAGGGGCCAAGGATGGGTTGAGTTTGACTGGCTTGGGTTGTTGTTTCTGGATGGGGAAAAGATTTTGGGATTTAGTGATTCAGCTATCTATACTGAACCTACCAATGCATATGACTGATACTCCACACTGGTAGTTTCTAAGACGAATAAAAATTAATAACTTCACCCCACTCTGTGTCAATCTGAACTTGCGACCCCTGTGCAGCTGATTTGACTCCAAATACTTCAATGACTTTGTGTTTGTTTTCTTTTTTTGCTAAAGATATTTATTTGTGCAGTATTTTGTGAAAATAGTTTTTACCCAGTTCACCAAGGTCTCGGTAGCTGGCACGCAAGCCAGTGTGCAAGTCAGAGAATGGGCACGGCTTCACTTTCCTCTCTTCCCTGTTCTTTGGGTTTGGCAGCAGAAGAACTGTGGACAGGGATCAGTGAGGTTATACAGGAAATATAGGATATAGAGGTCTTCTTCTCAGCCTTTACTGTTTGGTTAAGAATTGTCTGTCTTATTTTGATAAAATCATGTTTTTAGAACAGCAAAACAATTACTCGAACCTTGGACGAAACTACAGTGATCATTTTTGTTGCTTTGTTTTCTTTTTCTTTTTGTGTGTATTTTTTTGTTGCATGCCTCCTTGGTAGCTCGGTCAGTTCAGAAGTCTCAAGTTCCAGATAAACAAGGCTCTGCTGTAGATTCAAAGCTTGTTTCAGTGCTGCCAAAGGGTTTGTCCTGCACCCAAATGAATAAAGCCCTGCCCAAGTTGCCCAAGCTTATCCTTTCTCTTCCTCTGGTAATTGTAGTGTCATTTAAACATATCCGATACTGACCAAATTTTTTTCCTCCTCAAAACCTCCAACACAATTCCAAGGGGGTTGGGAACAAGCTTTGGATGTTTTAGTGCTACAGGAATTTTGGTACCATGCAATTAGTTTTATACAAGACAATGGACTGCTTAGATGCCATGTAGGCAGAGCAGGGCTTTCTTGGGAGAGTAGCAACCCTACTAGTCTTGGTGTCCACTGTCCAACATGAAACTTCCATCAAATGTGAACACTTTCTGTAAAAAGAATGAAACCAGGAAACACCTATGGAGACATTATTTCAGACACTGTTGTCATTATTTCAGTCATTTTATTTGTATTTGTGATTTAGAACCCTCGTATACTGGTGCCATATAGTGTTCAATGTACTAAAACAACACTAGAATAGGCATTTCCAGTCCTTAAAAATACAACACTTCATCAGTGTTCCACACAGTTTTTCTCATTACATGCACGTTCAATGTAAAGAAGTGACTTTGTTCGAAAAATGTTCCTGGTACTTGTCCTGTTTTTTCATCATTAAGATATTTCCCTTCTTACCTCATGTCTGAGCCTGTCTGCGGAATGAAGATCAGGTGTTTCATTTTGCAGCGAAGGCCATGATGGAAAAAATACCATGGAATAACAATAGAAACTGGAGTTGATGTTGCCTAAATGATGATGTCACTAGCACCGAATCTGTAAGGCCTTCTAAGGTCAGACTCTGTGCGCTCTGAGTGCCTCTAGTGGAATGTGAAGTAGCAAAAAGCTCAAACACACTTGAAGTGATTAGAATATGATTTTGGCTGAAACCACTGGTCCTGACTTTCACACGCTATAGATGGTGGAAAATTGTTTGAGGTTAGCCTCCTTCTTCCTCCCCTTTTTGTATCTATCCAATTGCAACAAATGCAGTTCAGCACAGAGACAGTTGCCTGCAGGCTATAACTATTAATATGTTGTGTTTATTTGATAATTCTTTCATCATGTGGGCACTATTTTCTGTGTAGCTCTCCATGTGTCTATCATTCAAGTCATACAGTATATCATATAACATGTGTCCTATTTCTTCAACTCAAAATCAGTTCTGCCTCTTGGCTAAGGTAATGCCCACTAGAATGGAGATGGTGTTTGTGTGTGCGTGTGTGTGTGTCTGTCTGTCTGTGTGTTTTTGTTGGCCTGCCTTTGTTTTGACAGCCCTAAAGGCCCTACTGTGCTTTATCAGGGTTGGGAGTTGTCATGTCATGAATATGACCTCATAAACACAGACCACATTTATGAATTCTAGGAGATGTATGTTTTCCTCCAATTTTCTGAATCAGTACAATTATCAAAAACAGGTACATTCTATGCTGCAATAGCAAACTTCACTGTTATATGGTTTACTACTGAGACACGGCCAAAATTCCTTTGATCTCCCTAAATATTGCTGTCCACTCGTATCCTGTGACGTCCACAACAGAAATTGTACAGGCAGGTTACAGGTTTTTACAAATCCACTCACCTCCCAAAAAGTATGTATCAAAACTTTAATGACATTAATTGATCTCACAAGTAATTCCTTTAATCATCAATTGAATCGTATTAGCTGTACTGCTTCAACTCCTACACTAAAGCATGACAAGAGATGCATTTCATTTTTGCTTTCTCATTTTTAGGCTGACAGCTGAGTTTTCCCCCTGTAATTCGTGGAGAATTTCTGCACTCCCTTTGTCTTTTGGGAGCTTGTTCTGCCATTGTTTAGCCAGGAGAGAGCCATAACCATGTGTTGCAGTAGCTGAGTTCCACGATAGCGAATAGCAAGCTGTTTTTTTGCACAAGCAGAGAACAGTTGATTGGCTGGGGACTATGTTTTGACCTTGTAGTGGATGTATGATGGACCTGAGCCAAAATTCAGTGAAGTTCTCTTACACACCAGACTTAGTGGTGTTCTTCATTCAGAGGGTACATACTAGTTTGGAGCCAGTTGCAGTAGTCTAGTTGAGAGGGACAGTTCACCAAAACCTCTGCTGCCTCCCCTCCCGGTTTTGTGGAGATTGCATGTGTGGGTTGCAGTGATGGTGGTAAAGAGGGACAGCTGAGCTTGAGACACCACAGAGTTATGAATGGTAATAGAGAAGCATGGATGAGGGAAGGCTTCCTTGGAAGTCAGAGCAGCTTAATTATGTGAGTATAGGATTCAGATTAGACCACCAAGAGATGTCAGCCAGACATGCTGAGATCTGTGCTGCCATGTGAGACTGGGGAAAACCAGTATTAGCTGAGTACATAGAGATACAGCAGGTCAGCCAGCTTTGTATCCTCTCTCTACCAAACACACCAACAAACAGAATTGCCTAATCCTTGTCATAGTTGACAGGTAATGGATGTTGGGGCTTGATGGTGAGTTGGTGTCAAGCATAGAGGCCAGGCTAAGCTGGGTCACCTTAAAGCTGCCATTAAGGGCTTTGGCCTGTCAGCCATCTTGATTGGCTGAGAAAAAGTTGAACAGTTGGATTAGACTCTTCAGTATATGTATTTGTATATCTGTTTGGCCATAATACCATCTAATTCATAGAAATATTGTGTTACACTCCTTTAGTTTGTTTCAACAAGCACCCATATGAATTTCTTGTTCTGTCTAATATGCTTGAATTTCTCATGGCAATCCAATTTAGTTGTGTGTGTGTGTGTGTGTGTGTGTGTGTGTGTGTGTGTGTGTGTGTGTGTATGACAGGTGGAATTGATGAGCAAGTATCTGGGTGTGCTGTATACTCACACTGCTGGGGAGCAGATGTCAAGAAAATGCTGACACTTCTGATCACTAGTGTCACTGATATGAGGGGCCGTGTCCCACAGTTAAAGGCCATGACATCTGTGTTTGTGTGTCTGTGTGCAATGTGGGTGTTTGAGCATTTGTCCGTGTGCATCTTGATCATCTTGTATTTGTGCATACATGTGTACCAAAGACACGTGAGCATGTATAATATTTACCACCCTGGCAAGTCACCATGACTGCCTCAGGGCTCAAGTTCTTGTCACAGGAAATGGAAAAGGCTTTTCAGAGGAATGAATTCTCCTGGCCTGGATAGCTCGCAATCATCAATGAAAGTGCGTCGCATTTCATACTTTATGTGCCCTTCAAAGAAGGTACAAGGAGTTCATTTGAGAAAGCGTGACAGTGTGAGAGAGACAGAAAAGAGAAAGAGGCCAACGCAAGGACGATGCCTTTCCTTTTGGAGGCGACATAATTAGCTGATCCTTGTCTCATCATCCAGGAACTCTCCAGACCCCCCCTGTCTTGGGAGACAGTGTGTGCATGAGAGTTTGCAAGGAACAAAGTGATCAAAAACCACGACCTGAGGCACAGGGACACTTGAAGGTATTGAAGCCAGAATGAGAGGACTCTGAGAAGTGAAAAGCGAAGTGAGAATCTCAGAGTGTATGCTTTGTTCTTTTCCAATAGGATTTCACAGGTGACTGATTTTACATATACATGATACATAGCCTAAAGCCTTACTGTTCATTAACCACCTTGGATTAAACCCATTTGAAAATTCCTTTGCTTTCCACACTTTGACTGTCAGGATCTTCCTGGGTGGCTTACATAACACATCCATGTCAAAGCAACAGTCTTTGTTATAATATAGTGATGATATCTTTTATATATGGGGCTATGTGTGTCTGGATATCTGTGTGTGTGTGTGTGTGTGTGTGTGTGCAAGTGACAGCACTGATGAATCACTTGGCTGTTGTGTCCTATCTTAATTCTTTCATCAGACAAAGGTCCTATCTATATTGCCATCTCCCTGCACTCGTCTGGAAGTTCTCTCACTCATTTGGCCTGTGATCTTTTTAGCCCTTCCTCTCTCACATCATAACTTTAGCACTTCGTGTCTGCGTGTACTTTTCTCTGCAGATGTTTTGACCGACAGAGTTATTGCTCCAGAGGCTGATGCTTGGACACAGGATGACATTGCACTGCACCATGAGCTCATGCTCAAATTAGGGAGGATATCCGGAATCCATCCCTACACGTCTCATTTAATCACACAGGGCGGAGGGAGAACATGTTTATGGACCCAATAGTGGAGCGAATACATTTTTTTTTTTTTTTCCAGCTAACTGCGCCTTTCCAGTCTCCTGAGAAGTAGACATGACACACAAGGGCAGGATGCGTTTCCCTTCAGCATTTGCAGGACTCTGGA